TGCCAGGATACAGGATTTAGGTCAGGCAATTGCATCATCAGAGTGAACCTCATTGAAACAGTGAGACTTGATCAGACCTGAAGGAGGTGATGGAGTTAGCAAAGTGGATATTTGAAAAAAGATGCATCACACTTTCTTCTCTCAACTCAGTAAAGGACTTTCAGCCAGTGATTGCTCCTTGAGACTCAGAAGACATGGTAAGTTTGCCAAGCTGCCAGAGCACTTGCTTTTGGCCCACTCAGTGAATTCTGTAAGGTTTTAGTCATTTAATTACTGTTGTGTGACGTGGGAGGCTAAACAGGAACAGAGAAAGGAGAAGTTCAGGACTCCAGCACAGGGTAGGGGTGGGGAGAAGAGGAGAGGGAGCTCCACCCTAATCTGAGATGGGGGAAGGTTCTGGAATTCTTATGAGAAGCATGAAGTCAGATCTTTCCTGTTTCCTAAATGTCTGTCCCTATAATACATTTAATTTATCTAAATCTGACATTTAAACTCACAGAATCTCTTTGCTGGAACCAAAGACTTCTTTTAACTGGTTTTATTTCCTTCATTCTATATTTCTTTGGCAACCAAAGGAGACTAATCAAAAGTGCAATTTCTGGCCCAGTAGAAGGAATTCTAGTTTTGTGGTTTTAATCATTGCTCTCTACCAGTCTTATCACTTTACATCTTTCTTTTCCTTGGAGCTTTTTCAACATAGCTAATCAAAATATAGTTAAACATTTATCCATTCAATTAAATATGTTTAATAAGTGGTTGACAGGTCCCAGGCCCTATGTACCAAGAACACAAAGGTGAGAAGATGTGATTCTATCAGTGGTGAGAAACCATAACCTCTTGGGGTGCTGCTATTCCATAGACAAGAACATAATGGCAACAACTCACAAGAAAACAATAACATATAGTGGTCAGTAAAAAAATAATAATGATTCAGTAAAAAAATAATAAACATATTTTTCAACATTCTCTAAAGGGGTAAAACTTCAGAAAACTCATGTTCTTACCAATAATGATTTTACAACTGTCATTATCTTTCCCATAAAACTCTGAAACCCAGAAATATTCATTTAGCCACTTCTCCTGGTTCCTGTAAGTCTGTTTCACTGAAGCACCTTAATCTCCCACATTTGCCATATTATTACTACATGGCAAGAAAGGAAGAAGGTGAAAGCTTCACAAAAATTAATAAAGAGGAACTAGAGACAATAAAGTTAGGTGGAGCCTTGAGGCAGGAACTAAGAACAACCTATAACTATAGAGGGTAATGTTTGTCAGGTTGTCAAAGACCACAGACCTCTTGAAGTGATTCACTTGGAGAGCGTGCTTTTTCTGCAGTTGACTCCAGTGAGGCCTACCCATTTGGTGCTGGTGGTGTGATGGATGGAAGACAGCTCAGTTGTCTGAGAGGTAATTTTTCTTCAGCATTATTGGTCTTAACTAAAGAATCTCCCAAAGGTTCCTCAAAAAAATTAAAAATGGACCTGCCTTATGGACCAGTGATTTCATATATATATATAATAAAATATTACTCGATCATAAAAATGAATGGAATTTATCATTTGTGACAGCATAGATGGACCTGTAAGGTATTATGTTAAGTGAAATAAGTCAGTCAGAGAAAGACAAATACCCCATGATTTCACTTATAGATGCGTGTAAAGAACAATATGAATGAACAAACAAAACAGAAATAGATGAAGAGATACAGAGACTGATGTTTGCCAGAGGGGAGAGGGGTTAAGGGGCTGGGTGAAAAGGTGAAGGGATTGAGAAGTATTGGTTGGTAGTTACAAAACAGTCATGGGGCTATAAAATACAGCATAGGAGATTTAGTCAATGATGTTTTAATAATTATGTATGGTGAGTGCTGGGAGCACCAGGAGGAATACTTTATGAAATATATGATTATCTAACCTCTATGCTATACACCTGAAACTAATAGACAATAGTACTAAATGTAAACTGTAATTGAAAAAAATTTCAAATTTAAAAATAGAATCTCCTAACATTCAAATAACAACATATAAACCACATGTGCATGGTGTTTGGTGTTTGAGCAGGTACTTACTGACTGGTGATGGGGTTTCTCTTCTGCAGTAGGAATTGCAGATATGTGAGAATGGGAGGAGAAAAGTAATTATATCACAGGCCTTCTTTGTTTTATTTATCCATGAGACTTATTATTCTAAGGAGGATTTGGTGCTGCTTTCTTGTTGTTGTTCTTGTTACTGGGCCCATCTTGTTGCTGTACCCAAATGAAGTATTCCTGGAATTTAAGGTGTCATTTTACCAGCCTGACCACAGGTACCACATTGTTTGCCCTGCTCTGCTCTCCCTTTAAATAATACCTCTGTCTCAATACTAATTTCAGTGTCTCAGTCGAAAACCCAGAGAAGAATAATGAGCCCTCTGCCCCTGCATATCTTCCAAAAAGGTAAGACAGACCAGAGAAGCAGTAAAATGACAGGCCCATTGTTTGAGCCCGATGCAGGGACTTCCCCTTTTGCATAAGCTGAGTCACATTTTTCCTGTTGTCAACTTGAAGCCTGTCCGTTGATGTACGATAGGGCTATCTTGCTGATGTATGAAGCCAAGCAGACAGGTTTCCTTGCTTTTGTTTGCCTCACCTTGGACCCTTACCAATTAGAAGCTGTCCACTGGCCAAAGGAGATAAGACCCGGTTTATTAAAGCTTGGGTACTGTACTGAATGAACTCATTTCTGACCATTTTCTTCTGTTAAAATGCTATCCGAGGTTCCTGCCTTGTGCAATCTTACTGATTTTGACACAGTCTTTTGGAATGTATATGTGCATTTTATTCTTGATATCTGTTCAGTTGACACATGCTTTAAAACCACAGATATCTTTAATTGGCTGGCAAATTGTGAAAACAGGAAGTTAAAGGACAGAATCAACTGTGAAACAACCATAATAAGTAAGTAAAGTTTTCTGCTTAAGTGCCAAGATAGAAAAACTGCTATACTAAACAAACAAACAAACAAAAAAATGAAATGATAATGTCAATAAAATTCACAGGAATCGTGAACAGCCAAAATGTTCTAATTATTATATTTTCAGGGACTTACACCCAATGAAATGGTCTTCAGAACTTAAATCACAATATTGTTGCTAGGCATAATAAAATCTTAAACATTAGGAGGGGTGTGATAACATTTGCTTGCTAGGAAATACTTGTGATGGTACTTTTTTGGTAAATCGCCATTCAAATTGAGTTTTAAAAATGGCTATTTTAATTGAATCCTTTTATTTATTCAGCAAATACCTACTGAGTGTTTACTCTAGGGCAGGGCTATGACAGTCATGGCATATTTCCTTCTTGTTCATAAGCTTTCTCACCAAGATTTTTCTATTTTTTATTTTATTTTTCTAATATATGTTTTTATTAATTAAAGAGAAAAACATCAATGATGAGAGAGAGTCATTGATTGTCTGCCTCCTGCATGTCCCCTACTGGGGATTGAGCCGCAACCCAGGCATGTGCCCTGACCAGGAATCGAACGGTGACCTCCTGGTTCATAAGTCGATGCTCAAACACTGAGCCAAGCCAGCTGGGCACCAAGATTTTTCTTGTAATTCCTCAAGGTTGCCAAGCATCAGTCCTCATGTGATAATTTTCCATGGCAAATTCTCAAAACAAAGGTTATCACCAGTGTAAAGCATAAAAAATCCTCAAACCAGTGGATGTAAAGAACACAAACAAATATTAGACTGAGTGAACAAGGCAATTTTTAGACAAATAAACCAGAACTACTACTTTACTATTATGTAATATGTTTAGGAATTGCATTACTTTTAAAATTTCAGAAATGTGAACGGATTTTTAAAATATTTGGATAAATTTTGAGGCAGAATCACTGTGGGCAGTAGAATGGGAAAGGACAGAGAATGCACCATATATATGGTAAATACTATCCACCCATCTTTCAACAATTTCTGTATAAAATGTGCTATAAAAACAATATCATGTGCCATCTATTAAGATAATTTGCTTTAAAAGTATGATCAATATCTCTCAAGGTCTAACTCTGCCAGAAAAGAATTAAAAATATCACAATAGGATATTTTAATGTCATCTTGCTGAAGAAAGAATAAAGAATTAATAATGAAGACTTAGCACAACTGATTGTTAGATGATCTTCACAATGCTTTTATTAACCTATTTAACCTTCAAACGCCATCTTAAAAGACTGCTTAAGAAAGAAATACTTAGGGGGCAGTTGGAAATTCATTTCAGTCAGCCTTAATTGTATTTTAAAATTCTTGTTTCTAGGCCCTGGCCAGTGTGGCTCAATTGGTTGAGCATCATCTGGTGCACTAAACAGTCACTGGTTGTGGCTTGATTCCCAGTAGGAGGCATGCAGGAGGCAGCCAATCAATATTTCTCTCCTTCTCCTTTCCTCTCTCTCTAAAATCAATAAAAACATATATTTATTTTTACAAAATCTGATTTCTAGATATTTAAAATCAAAACTGAAGAGAAAATAAATCTACTCTGAGTGTCTCTTCTTACAGATAAGGAAACTGAGGCACAAACAAATTGAGTGACTTCCATAGGTCACAGCATTTATCCAGAGAAGAAGCCAAGCCAAATCCAGATCACTTAGACACCTGACTGTTTAACATCTCTGAGCTGACGGGGGAGTGGGGAGAGAAGTGAAATAAAAAACTGCATTCTAGAATTATCTAATTATCCTTTATCCCATATTGTGAAATGATTCCATTTGGGAACAGAATCAGTCACTAATTGGAAAGTCAGTGAATTAAATTTAAACTCATGAATCTGCCTTTAGAGATGTTACACATGTCACAGTTTTATCACATCCATGGAACATTCCAAAGGTGCTCACCAACCTGGACTACAAAATAGTCCCTTTTATTATCTAATCAAAAGACAAAGAGTAAAGAAAAATTAAAAGTATAAAGACCCTCCCAAGGAGAAACCCAGAGAAACTAGCAATAATAATGTAAAATTTTCAACTATGTAATTTCTAAGATTTTCATTTAACTGTGAAGTCAAATCACACTATTATTCATTTCACAGCTACCTATCAATTTGCTCATGTGTGAACCATATGGAATAACAACCATTTTCTCTTCAGGTGAATGATCCTGGTTTGAGTTACCAATACAATCTGATAAAAATACATTATTCCAGATCAACTCTAGTTGATAAGAAGGTGGAAATTTTTAAGTAAAAGACTTCAGACTTAATTATCCTAAATTAGGTGGTCAAAGAGAGAACACAGGAGAATAAAACTTTACCCCAAATCATTTATAAATATCCCAAATTTTTAAAAATTATTTTAGGAGAAAAAAACTTCAAAGAATGTATAAATCTTAACATGTATTTAAGTAAAATAAGTGTCAACTTTTACAATCAAATTTTTATCTATAAGCTATAGCTACATTGAATCCTATATAATAAAAGCCCAGCGACCAAATGGCATAACGACAAGAACGACCGCTCAGCCAGTCGCTATGAGGTGCATTGACCACCTCTCGGTCTCTCCCCATGCACCCCTGGCCCACAGGGGTGCAATCACTGGATGGTGAACAGGGAACCAGGGTGGGTGGTGGTGGGCTGGGACTGGGAACTGGCGAATGGCCGGAAGATGGCCCTGATCACAGGCTAGGCCTTGGGATCCTACCTATGCATGATTTTGTGTGCTGGGCCTCTAGTATACTTATAATACAGTAACTTTCCATTTTCTCATACTGAGTCAACTCATCTATAATCCAAGCTCAGGTGTTTTCACTCTCCTTTAGTTGATGGTACAGTATCCGCCCTGATTCCCTTAGGCATAAATATAAGCTAAGGGAGTATCACTGGTGTGACTATGGTGAGTGACATGGAGGTCTGAACTATCCACCCATGCAGTTTACTTGTGCTCTCTTATTGCTTGGGACATTTCTGGATATACATTTTTATCTAATGGAAGACTGATGCTGGGCCCATCCTTGGTCAGTCTGACAAAAATTAGGTCATAATTGGCAATTCAATTAGCATCCAGTGGTCAAGAGTTCCATGTCTAGTAGGACCCAATAACACTCTAGGAGCCGTTTTTCAAAAGGCTGTGATTCTCCACTGCAGATACACAGCCTTGCTCCAGACTCCCAAAGGCCGGCCTTGAGTGTCTCCCACTAGAGGTTGCCTTCAACCCCAAACCACACCTTTTCCCACCACTGACACCTCCAGGTCTGATGGATCTCACAGCCCAAGAACCTAGACCCACTGCAGCCTAGACCTGATGCAGGGCCCTTTCCACATCTGGTGCCTACTCAAAGCTGACAGCCTTCTAAGTAACCAAGTGTGTGAGCTACAGCAACTTTCCTGGTTGTAGAAGGTTCCTTGTGTTGGGGATGCAAGATTCAGCAATTCAACTTTTACATTGGACATATTCCACCATGTCCCTGACCTCTGGGCATCTATAAACCTCACTGATGTGGCAAGTCTCTGAATCTTCACCTACCACATTGAGGGATGGCTGACTCTTATTGTAGAGGAGTGGACTATCTTTGTAAATGTTGAACATTCAGGAAGGTTGCCAGAGCCAAAATCCACCAGAGGCATCTATCCTGACATCTCCACCTCCAAACCAGATCCCTGGTTTTCCCAATCAGGGCCCATAGGAGACCTGCCTTGACTGGACATCTAAATACCTCTGAGCTTCTAGAACCCTATCAAGTTCTGAGTCTGTTCAGCAGTCCACTGTAGGAGGTAAGGGCCTGGTAACAAGCTGCCCAAGAGTTTCCCTGGCTTTCACGCTCAGCACAGGCATACCTCATTTTATTGAGCTTTGCTTTATTGTGCTTCACAGAGGTTGCATGTTTTTCACAAATTGAAGCCAAAACCCTCCACCAACAAAAAGATTACTACTCACTTTATTGCAGAGGTCTGGAACCAAACCCATATCTCCTGTATTCATTTGTTTGTTAATGGCCCCCAAGTTTCTCATTATCCACTGCAGAGCATAGCAATAACCAGCCAACTCTGCTGTCCTTGCACACCCCATCCCCACGTCTTTCAAATCCCTGAAACTAGTGGGTAGAGTGTCGGCCTGTGGACTGAAGGGTCCTAGGTTTGATTCTGGTCAAGGGCACATGCCCGGGGTTGTGGGCTCATCCCCTGTAGGGGGCGTGCAGGAGGCAGTCAATCAGTGATTCTCTTTCATCATTGATGTTTCTATCTCCCTTTCCCTTCCTCTCTGAAATCAATAAAAAATATGTATATATATATTTTAAATCCCTGAATTATCACACCAGCAAGAGCCTTCTCCATGAGGATGTTTCTGCAAGTCACCGCTGGTGAAATGTTCAGCAATGGTGCCAGGGACTGTCGTGTCCTACATTGCTCTCAGGATGGAGTGTTCCTTGCTTGCTGGGCAATGAGCAAGCCAGGCCCTAAACCCATCAGACCTCCTGATTGATCAGAACACTTTTGGTATCAACTATATCAATTCTGGTCTACCCAGAAGCAGGTGCCAAGACAGGATTACACACGCACGATATTTATTGGGAGAAACTCCCGGGAATGATAAAGAGAGAGGAAGCAGGAGTAGGCAGAGCCTTTAAACCACAATGAGGAATTGACATCTGTAAAAAGAGAAACAGAAAGTTTCTCATCCTGGCTCCGAGGATCTTTATCTCTGTAACTTTCCCATTTCTGCATCCTTTGCTCACAAAGATGTTAGAAGAAATGTCATGGGAAGGCCTAACTCAGAGTCCAGACGCAGAGGGCACTCAACAACTATTCATTATATGTTCACTGCACAGGAAATATAATCAAAAATATTGTAATAACTATGTTGATGTCAGGAGGAAATATCAGGGGAACACTCTAAGGTATATGATTGTCTAACCACTATGATATACAACTGAAACTAATATAAAATAATAAAAGCATAATATGCTAATTAGGCCAGACTTCCTTCTGGATGTCCTTCCTTCTGGACAAAGCCACAGCGAGCAGGGGCCGAGGCAGAGGCACCAGAGGCCCCCCGCGGCAGTGGAGGGCATGGGCTGCAGGTGGGGGCCAGGGCCAAGGCCCTTGCATCAGGCCTCTAGTATAAAATAATATTAAATGTAAAGTGTAACTAAACAAATAATTTTAAAAAACACACACATGTATTTCTCCAATTACTAATACTACTGAGGGGAAAATATCAGGGGAATGATCCGCAGAGCCCCTAACTATCCTTCAAAGAAACACAGTGCAGCTAATTCCATGTGTGCCCAGATAGACATGGAGGCTGCCACTCTCTTATTTACAGTCCCTGTTTCTCACTAAAGTCAGTGGTAAGCACTTGATATATGAAATAGCACAAGGACTTAAACAGGATGCACTTCTCTCTTACAGCCGGGACCTCAAAATGTATTTTGTTTCACAAGCATTATTACCAACTAACATGCATCTTTCCTATTTGTAATCAGAATGAAGAAAAATAGGGCTGGTGACAGAAAGTAGGATTAGGCAAACTTATACTGAGAGCTGGTTTATCCCGGGTACTACTTTACCTTACAGCAGCCCTCTGGCATTGGAATCATTATCCACATCATCTGTGAAATCTAAGGCTTATAGAGGTTAAGTAACTTGTCCTTGGTAACTCAGTTAATTATTAGAAACTAGAGGCCCAGTACACATATTTGTGCACAGGTGGGGTCCCTCTGCCTGGCTGGCAATCAGGGCTGATCAGGCCAGCTGGCAGGGAGGAGGGACCATAGGAGGTTGGCCAGCTGCGGGAAGTTGGCTTTGGGAGCACACTGACCACCAGGGGCAGCTCCTGCATTGAGTATCTGCCTCCTGGTGGTCAGTGCACATCACAGCAACTGGTCATTTGGTCGACTGGTCTTAATGGTCGCTTAGGCTCATATATATATATATTCAATCACTGACTCCAGAAACTATTTTTGGTATATTTTGTAAAAGAAATATTG